AAAAAAATAAGAGAAGTTGGCTAGAATCATAGATCTCATCACATACATTACTCAAATTAAGTTATTGAAGTGGCCCTACATTTTAAACAAGAAACATATTCAGATTACGGTATTGAGTTTTCAGTTTCAGTTTAGCATGGCTCTGTCTGGTGATCCTTATCTGCTCAGATTCTCGCTTCAAACTCCAAAACAAAAACAGCCAACAAAACAGCTCTACATTCTGTTAAAAATCAACATTGGAGAAAAAACACATAGGTTTGAATATGTTTTTGGAAAAACACAAATGATGGTACAGAAAACATTTCCTTGTTCCTTGTGGATTTTATGTTTTTGTGCTGAAAGAGGCATAAGTACGATCTTATCAATGTTGTAAATACCATAATTTACATAAATATCCTTTCACACATGATCACAACCAAACCTTTGTTGTGAAAAACTTGGTCTCACTTTCACTAGTCCAGTTTTTAATAAACAGGGCAAACAGGAATCTGTAAAGCATTAATTCCCAAAGTTTAGGTCATGACCTGACTTAGAGGATCAGCAAATATGGGGTCTTGACATCCTCTTTCTTAATTTAAACTGATTCAGAAAAGATAATGATAAAGCATGTTTAATGGTTTAAAGACATAAAAATGTTACGTACTACATTGGTTGTTAATTCTGACCTTGGCAGTAGGGAACAGCCCAATGAACAGAGGTGCCAGCTCCCTGTTTTTTATCCTCAGTACAGGTCCTTGGTGGACAGCCAAACCCTCTGACCCTCTCTGTATTCAGGTGCCGAAATCCTCCAGCGGGTAGCAGCCTTGGTTTGGCTCTCTGATGCACTGCTGATAGCTCTCCTAGTCCCTCTCTGTATGCTCATTCGTCTGGTGGTGGAATAACCACGACATGAAATCCTCAGCATGCCACAGAATTTTCTCCAGTACTAAAACACAAACTGGGGACTCTTGTAAGAGACTATGTATGTCGGGGTACCTCTCAGGCGAGAATTTCCCCCATCTCCTAAGCGGATGGGAGTTTGGGTAGCGGAAGCAAATGGACGTTCTTAGAAAAGCTATCAATGACTGGCAGAATAACGACGTCGCCTTATGAGCTTGGTTGACCTGTGATGACTTCCATGGCAATATTGGAACAAAGTCGGGACAGAATAGGTAGAGGACGTAATAAGCTAGATCAGAGTCTTCTGGATGTTTTGGCCTGGTTGCAAAGGGGACAAGCTGCCACAATCTCCCAGTAGACAGAGAAGGCCACCAGAATTATACCCGAATAACGCCAATAGATCTTGTTATGGTAGGATGTCAAAACAAGAGGGACCCACCTTGTCCTCACCTGCTGGTCTGCTTTCTCCCTGGTTAGGCTGTTTGTCCACTCCTGGGTAAGCTACCTGTTAAGATATTAATTTACTTTACCTGAATCTACAGGTTTTCTCATGGGTTTCCTGGTTTAGGGTTGTCTTGGAGCTGCAGCACTTTGGACGCTCTGCTGTCTTGTTTTGACGTTGTTTGTTTGGGGAGCTCTCAATGAAACCTGTTGCTGCTTAAACAGGCTGATCAAGCGGGGCATGACTCCTCTGGCCTCACTGGAAGGCATATGAAATTGGACAATGACAATTTGTTCCACTGTTTGAAGTGCTTGCTTTTTTCTTTTACTGTTTGTTTGCTTATTATTGAAATTACTAATGTGTTTTCTTTTATTTTGATTTACTAATTTGTTTTCTTTTGCATTACATGTTTTGTTTGCCCCCCCTGTGCGGGTCACATTAGCAAACCCCAAGAATCGCTGTAATTGCTTTCTAACCTCAGGCCACTCGATAAGTGCCCTCACCTTTGTTGGATCTATAGCAATATGGTCCGGGGAAACCAGAAAACCCAAGTAAGACATAGTTTCTGCATGAAATTTCCATTTCTCTGCTTTCACAAAGAGCTGATTCTGCAGGAGACACAACAAAACAGATCTGACATCCTTATATGGGACTCTAGATCCCGGGATTAAATAATTATGTCATCCAGATAAACAAACACAAACTGTCCCACCGAGTCCCTGAGCACCTCATTTACCAGATGTTGGAAGACAGCTGGAGCATAAGTCAGCCCCAAAAGGCATGACCAGGTGCTCATAATGCCCTGTAGGGGTGTTGAATGCTGTCTTCCACTCATCTACATCATGAATATGTAGATGAGTGGAAGAACTGCAGGGATGTAGCTTAGTAAAAATCTTGGCTCCCCGAATCTGAGTACCAGTACCAGTGCATCAAAGATGGACAATAAGCTGAGTACAGGGAGTTAGTGAACTGCTTAGTGGAATGATGTGGAAATAATCATTGGATCCTGAATGTCAGCAAAACAATGGAAATGATTGTAGATTTCAGAAGAAACAGGAGTATAAATACCTTAAAAGTTCTACTGGACAACAAACTAAACTAGAGAGGCAACTGTGATGCCGACAAATACAGACAGAGCAGATTTAGCTTCCTCAGGAGGCTGCGGTCCTTTGGCGTTTGCAGCAAGTTGTGGAGAGTGTGATCTCTTCATCTTCTGCTGTGGTAACGGTTTTAGAGCTAATGACTTGAAAAAGCTCAAGTTGATAAAAAAAAAAAAAAAAAGGCCAGCCTGTGGTCTAGGAACTAGAGCCTCTGGATATTATTTAACAAAGAATTCTTAATAAAATGAAGATTATGGACAACAGTGAGCATCCTCTTCAGAAGATTTTTAAACATGGTGTCTTGAGTCAAAGGCTTCTCCATGACAGACCAATAGAGATCATTGCTGCCTACAGCTACTAACATCTACAACAAGATATTAAGAAGCACAGAGAAGTTACTACATTTAAATTCTCTTTGGGTTTAAACAAGTATTTTTAAATTGAATTAAACTTGATTTGATGCACTATTGATATACTGGTATCAAATTATTGGACTTCAGTGCTACCAAGCTCTGCATACATGGTCATTTTTTAAACTTTAAAGCTACAGTGTAACTTTTAGCGACATCTAGCGGTCAGACTGCAGCAACATGAACATCTCCCCCCCACCGCTTCTGCCCCCCAACAGTACGGCGAGCGTTACAGGACAAAATGTCTTCCACGACGTCCGCATCACCTACCTTCTCAAGTGATGAGGTTTGTTTACATAGATAATTTTACAGATAGTATTTCATTAGTCTGTGTAGGGTATAGATTTGATAATAATAAATATACCCGTTATTTTTTCTACATCGTTGTGACGTTTTGGTGAGCTGCTTTGCATGGTGATATA